TGCCTTTATCAACATTCTTCGGGAGCTAGTGACATCTACTTCTGAACAAACTTTTATTCACCATATGGGCAAGCTGCAAATAAGCACATCACTCCAGACACCAATGTGAGCCATCAGCTCTGTTCTGGTACATAAAACATGGATTGCACTGAAGACAGATGGGTCTCTTTCCATCACTCCTTCCTACATTGCTCAGGGACTACTTATTCACTATTTGTTTAAGACAACATTATTGATATGTGTTCTGGCCATTGTAAGGCAAAGGAATCAACCCCTTCACTTTAGACAGAGAAAATTGCATTCATATTCAGTACAACATGACTCATACTGGACAATCTCAAGGTTCTAAACCAAGAGAACCTACACTTGTAGTAAATAAACCTCTCACAGCCAAAGGAAGTGATGGCGGGAGCTGTCCCTGCCGGGAGAACACAGTGATTATTATTAGCGGCTATAGCCGCTGGAAATAATGGCATGAAAAGCCTGACAGGCTGGTTGTACCGAATCGAATTGGGTACAATTAGCCTACCCATAGATGATTCGAATCTCGGCCAGTCCCTGCTGAACCGGCTGAGATTCAAACCATCTATTGCCGGCTTAAGGCTGCTCTCAATTTATGCATTGCTATATACAGGGGTTGGACAAAAAAGAAAAAACACTACATGATTTGCATGTGTAAAAGTGACAACACATGGAACATTGAAAGTTGAAGTGATGTAACATTACTTTGTTTCTGCTGTGTGATGACATGCCTAGCTAACAAGTGAGAAGCCTCACTTTCCTCATTCACTGCGTGTGCTGCTAGTAATACAGAGTCATATCAGAGCTTACTGAGCTTCAAAAGAGGGAAATGTATGTCCCATAGTTGGATGCTCAGTTTTGAGTTCAAGACCACACTTTTGAGAATGTAGTTTCATACATATTTGCAAATGCATGCAAAACCTCTGTTTTTGATGGAAATAGTTAGAACAGCTTTGGGTTTTTTCTTGCTGGTATGTATGCTGAGGAATTTTTTTTGTATTGTACTGCTCCAAGAGAAGGGTCCCTGGCTGGAAAAAACAGACTCAAAATCAGGTGTCTACTACCAGACTCATCAACCTTACCAACCGTTCCATGTCTGCCATCCCTCTCTGCCAATCCCTCCACTGGCTTCCCATTGCCCAACGAATAAAATTCGAAACATGACCAATAATATATAAAGCCATTTATAACTCTGCCCTCAATTACATCACCAATCTTATTTCCAAATATCATGCAAACCATCCTCTCCGCTCCTCCCATGACCTCCTGCTCTCTAGCTCCCTTGTCTCCTCCTCCCATGCTCGTCTCTAGGACTTCTCCAGAGCCTCCCCCATCATCTGGAACTCTCTACCCCAATCTATTTGACTATTACCTACCCTGCCCACTTTTAGGCGATTTCTGAAAAGCTCTCACTTCAGGGAAGCCTATCCTACCTTCAGCTAATAACCCTATCCTCTATGTCTCCTATCAGTTCGCCCCCCACAGTTATTACCCCTCTGTACCACCAGCCCCTCCCTCTTAGATTGTAAGCTCCAAGAAAAAGGGGCCTCGTAACCCTCTTGTACTGAACTGTATCGTTGCTATATTGTCTCCCTTTATATTATAAAGCACTGAGCAAACTGTTGGAGCTATATAAATCCTGTATTATAATAATAATAATGGTGTTCCCAGATGTATTTTACGCCAAACAGTAGCTCTATGTCTCTAAGCAATGGCAGGATAATGAAACAAAAGCTCTGGGCAGGTGTGTTGTCTCAACTTTGTTTTTTTTAGGCTAAATTTTCAGGTTTGACTGGAATGCATCTTTAAATATTTCAGAAGCAAGCTTGAGGGCATAGTCATCATTGCAAAATCAGTACTCCTGGGCTTCCAGCAAACAACCTCTACTCGCATTATGGAGCCTCAAGACAACATGATCTGTTTATAATAAATGAGGCAAAAGAACAAGTCTTCCTATTCCCATCTAGACCAAAGTGTTCAGTGCTGAATATGTCAATGTGAATGTGTTATGTGGTCCATCTTGTTCTGCAGTCTGTCATCTAGATGCTTACATGTGTCTGGATGACAACTATACAGCCAGTAAGATTGCTGACAGAGAGACTTCGTACCTTCGGTCACTTGCAATGTCAAAGGATTAAAAGTGGAAAGTCAGTAAATTCACACTGGTTACCTGAGCAGAATTATTTTTAATTTATCTTTAAAGTGGCTCTAAAGTCATAACAGTTTTTACCTTAATGCATTCCCTGCATTAAGGTAGGGGAAAAAAAAAAAAAACACTATCTGTAAAAATAACCCCCCCCCCTCCCACCCCAAACACTTACCCTTACCTGGTTCCTTTTCACTCCAGAGCTGCCCTGTTCCCCTTACTTCCTGGCCTCACAGGAGACACAGAGCAGTGGGAGCAATAGGCGTGGCTTATCGGCGCTGTGTGTGTGTCTATGGACGCACATCCCCACTTGGAAGCTTGTGTGCACGGGTGCCCCCTTAGCACCCAGGTTGCTGAGGTGGCACCTGAAGGAAGGAGAAGAAGACAGGACTGGCAGGACACTATGAAATAGGAGGTAAGGGACCACTCTGTGTAATATCTTTTTTAGTTTAAACCAAACAAATTTCATCATTTACTATTACTTTAAAGCATACCTGCATTAAACTACAGCTAAGTAAACTGGTATCTTGATTTATGTACAGTCACCTAGTGATGCTTTCATGTAGCTTTAGATGTTATCAGAAAACCCTAAACCCAGGCATCTATCACACAAGGGAAACCTCTACTAACTGAACATGTAGACTGCTCTTGTTGACCTCTCCTTCTGGTTGCCTGGCTTCTATATTTATCCCACTGCTTGATGCACTGATGACCCTGAATAGGTAGGCAAATCATTTCACTTGATTTTACCTTGTGCTGAGTCAGTGACTTAAGGTAATGAAGTCAGAGTAGGCCAGGCAGCTAGCATTTTCCAGGTCAGCAAGTGCAGTCCACATTTTTCTCTCAGTACAATACTTTAAAAATTTCAGGAAGTGAAGCTAAGCTCAGCCTATCCCCCTCATGCCTCACTACTGGTCCATGACTATTAAGGTGACTTCACTGGGCAATTGTAAGGCACAGGGGGAGAAAAGGTGCAGGTCAATGCGCAGCTTTAGTTGCTGAGATTAGTAAATGCACAATAGTGTACCTGAGTTTCAGGGGCATGTGTGTATTCACTTTTAAGTCTTTGTAAGAATGGACAAGGGACTTCCAGATTTCACCATAATCCCCCCATTCCCCACCAATATCACTCTCAGCATTTTTGGGGGGCACCAGAGGTGGCGAAGAGGCCCATGGGTCCATCAAAACAAAGGCACTTTGAGAGGGAAGGGAGGGGGATGGTACCCCCTTCCCCCTTACAAGGATGGCTCCCCCTTCTCCCAATGTTGAAAAGCAAGTGGCCTTGAATGAGACAGAAAGTGAGGACATGATCACTGTCCTCTCTTTCCTGGCCTCCCAGGCTGCATGACTGAAAAAGGGTCTGGTTGGAATATTAAGGGGAACCACGCTCCCCCCCCCCTTTTTTTTCCTAAGCACTACATTCAAATGTACTGTTAATGACTCAGATTGGTGTGCTGCTGCTGTATGTAATCCAAGCCAATTGTAAAGGAAAAACAAAAATCAATTCCACAGCCAAATATGTGTTGCCAGTGTATACTGTTGCTGAGATTGTTCTATAACACTTGGTGCAGCTTTAAAGTAACACTAAAGGATATCCTTATTATTAAAGATAATCCACACACATGCCCTACTTAAGGGCTCTGTAATCTACTTTTCACTAAAGTATTTTCTGTGTTTTTCTGCCTCTTTGTTAGTTCTCCATGAGCTACCGAACCTCTAAGTGAAAACAGTTTCACCAGGCGAGATGTGAGGTAACCCTAGGTTCACACCTAAGTAGATCTGAGAGCCATGTTTGTGTGGGCACAGCAACCTGTTTATTTAAATGGGCTGCGCTGCCTGCTCTTCAGGCAGGAAAAACACCCCTGCACCTTTTTAAAAACTCATCCAGAGGAAAATCACATGGTGCTTTTGCACCTTGCGATTTATCCCATCCAAAAATAGACTGCATTTTCAGATGCGTGGGGGTACCATTAAGAATGAAGGGTAGCCCTGACTGTCTGCAAAGGAGCAGCATGGTTTGGCTTTAGGAACAGGTGCAACAACCCACACAAGTGTGAACTAAGCTTTAAACCTCAACAGCAACATAGGAAACAATACAAACGCACTCAGCAGGGAAGACTAGGAACCCTCTAGAACAGTGGTTCTCAACCTTCCTAATGCCGCGACCCTTTAATACAGTTCCTCATGTTGTGGTGACCCCCAACCATAAAATTATTTTCGTTGCTACTTCATAACTGTAATTTTGCAGTGGGAGGAGTAGTGCCACATCATTGGTGTCAGTGAGAGGAGTAGTGCCACATCATTGGTGTCAGTGAGAGGAGTAGTGCCACATCATTGGTGTCAGTGAGAGGAATAGTGCCACATCACTGATGTCAGTGGGAGAAATAGTGTCCCATCATTGGTGTCAGTGTGGGAGGAATAGTGCCCCGTCATTGGTGTCAGTGGGGGGGGGGGAAATAGTGCCCCATCATTGATATTAATGTGGGGGGGAATTGTGCCCCATCATTGGTGTCAGTGGGGGGGATAGTGCCCCATCGTTTGTGTCAGTGGGGGGAGGAATAGTGCCCCATCGCTGGTGTCAGTGGGGGGAGGAATAGTGCCCCATCGCTGGTGTCAGTGGGGGGAGGAATAGTGCCCCATCGATGGTGTCAGTGGGGGGAGGAATAGTGCCCCATTCGCTGGTGTCAGTGGGGGGAGGAATAGTGCCCCATCGTTGGTGTCAGTGGGGGGAGGAATAGTGCCCCATCATTGGTGTCAGTGGGAGGAGGAATAGTGCCCCAACGTTGGTGTCAGTGGGGGGAGGAATAGTGCCCCATCGTTGGTGTCAGTGGGGGGAGGAATAGTTCCCCATCGTTGGTGTCAGGGGGGGGGGGGGGGGAGGAAATAGTGCCCCATCATTGGTGTCAGTGGGAGGAATAGTGCCCCATCATTGGTATTAGTGACACCAATGATGGGGCACTATTCCTCCCACTGACACCAATGATACTTACCTTGCTGACTCCTGCTCCAGCCTGAGCTCGCTCCCTCCCTCTCCCATCTACAGCCAGCATACCTGGCTGCAGCAGCACCATCTGCACGCTACAGACACTTACCTGTCAGCTGTCTTCCTTCTCCGGCTACTCCCTCGCTCGATCTTCTTTGATGTTCGTGCTGCTGCTCGGATCCTCCTCTCCAAGCTCCACCTCCTCGCCGGTGATTGGCCGCCTGTGTGCCTCTCCTGAGCTACAGTTCCGGCGGCCAATCACTGGTGAGGAGGCGGAGCTGTTGAGTGATCCCGGGGATGTGGCCAGATGACAGGGGCGGTATGTCATCCCGCACACACACATCGCGGTCCAGGGAAATGTGGACGTATCTGCATGTGGGCGGACACGCCTGGAGACTGATAGAGGAGCGGTGTCTCGGTTCCTAAGACCATCGGAAATATGTGTTTTCCGATGGTCTTAGGAGACCCCTGTAAAAGGGTTGTTCGACCCCCAAAGGGGTCGCGACCCACAGGTTGAGAACCACTGCTCTAGAACCTCTGGTAAAACACACGTTTTCAGGACCCTACACATTACAGCATCCTGAAAACATGTCGTCTTGTCGTGCTCCTTTTCGTAAATACTTTTTCAGTGGACATTATTGTCCTGCCCAGTCCGCTCTGGAGATGACAGGACATACCCAGAGTTGGAAACCTGGTCTGGGAAACTCACAAACTGGCAATCCTGGTTTCCTTCTCTCCCCACACATGCGCAGTCCATTGATTAAACTATGTTGGAAAATGTTTCTTGTTATAAGTCCCATTAAATGCACCTACTGCTTGCTTCATATTCTACATACTTTTTTCATGGATTCCACCTGGGTCAATATCCCTACAAGCGTGTGCAATGGATCACTAAGAATAAATATGGAAATATATTTGGTCTGCTCACGTGGTGAAGGTTATTTAGAACAATAAAGTAAAAATAGAAGAATATTTTTTTTAACAGCATCAGAGAAGTACCCTGAAGCCCCCACATAACAGCATCTGATTTTTATTTACATTTACAAAGTGAACGCACATTCCAGGAAGGAACGCAATTAGATTGCACATGCATGAAATCCATTAAGACAAAACAAAACTTACTATACCAAGTATTCACGTGATGGTTTCTGGGCTGGCAACAGATGCTGCTCAAGGCAGCCAGAGAGGCAAAATACATCACTTCTCAGGGATTTCTAAACCTAATCTCTGGACAGAGGAAGAGAAATGAGGACTGCTGGTATGTTACAAGACATACCAAACACTCAGAACAGTGGATAAGGCCACAATTTCAGGATTTTTTTTTTTAACACACAGCACTAATTTACAAACTAAAACTCTACAATTCAAGCACTGACAAATGTTTACAAAGACGCTGAGAAGATAAGACAAACTTGGTTCCATTACACGGCTTGGTTTTTCTTGCTACAAAACATCTGGCACAATGTACTCCCTTTTCTTTCATAGGGAAACGTAATTCCAAACTTTCATGATAAATGTAAGGAGGGCAGCTTTGGTGTAAAATGAACAGATGCATTTTACATTGCACTACATGGACTTCATCCACAGTAGTTGGAGATGGCTCAGATCAACATGAATAACAAAAGGAAAATTCCATTCAGGATAAAATCTGTAAAACTATACTTTATATTTAAGTGGAAGTAAGGTCCACTTTTTAAAACTTTGTATAGCGTTGAAGAGGTTAGACAACTCTGAAAACCTTAACCACTAGTTGAGAAAAGTGAAAAGCTAGCCCTGGACCCACACAGGTTGATTTACTATACAAGCTATATTTTAGACCCCTTTCACACTGATGCAGTGAGGTTTGACTGCACCACAGGTGCAGTGCAGTGTGCTCGCAGGTTTGGTGTGGGTTAGCTGTGCTTTCCCATTGACTCCTATTATGTCCCGTGGTTTTGGTGCGCTTTCTGGAAGGAACTATTAAATGAAAAATGCACCTTCTTTATCTTTAAATCCTTGCCTATGTTCTTGATTAAGCTGGTGTCATGATCACTGCTCCAGATTTCCAGTTTCAAGTTGTCTCCTTTCTCTTGCAGCATACTATGAAGTCCCCCTACATGCAGGGATTAGACAAAAATATTCTCAAAAAGACAATGCTCACGATCTCAAAAACCTATAGTGACAAAGCCACTGACCATATGTCCTGGTAAAGAACGTGAGCCCATCTCTCAGCGCAATACATTTTTTCAAGGACTTCAGCTCACAGGAAGTGACAAGGACACTGCATTATTGGCAGGATCATTTCTTGAAAATGTTCTTAGTTTGAAGTAAAAATTAATATAAAAATTAATATAGCCACCCACACTTAATGACGTGAACTTCCTGGTCATGGGTCTCTCCCCTTGAGCAGGGTAACTGGTCTTGTATCCGCCCCCTCCTGTAGATTTCTTCAGGCAGTCTGCAGTGAGTGGAGGACCTCCAGGACCTCCCACAGCTGGTATCTGCACAGGATACTATTGGGTTTGGGTTTTACATCAACTGAAGGGGAGAACGGACCCCGGTTGAGCTAGATATACATGCTTACCATGTACTACTCTATAAATTGGGGGTCATGGAGTTCCAGTAAGAGGTCTCTCTTAATTCACGGATTCAGTGGATTCACAAGTGGAGTTTGCAGTGCTAATGTTTGAAGCCCATATGATTAAGAGTTTCTATATTTTTCTTTGACGTGGGATTGGACTTTTACTTTATATGGACTTTACTATTTTTCACATTTAATATTGGGACGTTTGGTTTTTTATTTATATGAGTGATTGGGTTTGATCACCATCACGTATATTTATGTTTCTTTATTTGTCATGTTTCTGTATATTTAAGCAATGCAGGGATTAAAGCGGTGTCTCCTTACAATGTATGCATCAATGGAAACAAATATCCCATAGTCTGGAATAGCAAGGCATTCCCCTGCTCCTCCTGCCTCCTCCCATTCCCTCCTCCACGCTAACAGACTGGCTTGAGACTGCACTGTCCACTGTTAACTCTCTCCTGTGAAGAACAGAAGTTTAGGGAAGCAGCACTGAGAGAGCAGGAGCTAGCAGCATTGAAAGTTGTAAACTGCAAGGGTTGGGGTAAGAATTTTAACACACAGTTTACTGAGGAATGTTTATTTCTTGGTGTTTAATGTGTTAAATAAAAATGCAGAGCGTTTAATATTACTTTAAATTTAGGCCATTCAGAAATGCTGAACAGGTAAGCCATATCACAAGTCAGCTTGCTGCAGAATTTTCCTGTTTGACTGGAGTGGTCCCTTTCGTTACCTGAGGCATACAAAGAACAACACCACTTTAGCTGGAGGCAAAACAACTCAGTGCCTGAAACTGAAGAGAAAAGACAAGGTCGTCATGACACTTTGTTACCTGCTCTGCTCAGATACAAGTTTAAGCACTATCATCTTGTGTGTGATATAAATCACTCAATTCTTGGTGATAACCTTTCTTGTAAATAGTTGCAAAGGAGCAATCATGTATCTCTTCAGTGATAAGGTCTCTCCTGTTGTGTATGCTGAGATCAAAGTGATGCATTATCCTAGGCAATCAGTGGTTTACGCTGAGCCATTCAAAACTCGGCAGGCAATTTACTTATAAACTTTACATGCCAGCTGAAAACGGAGTGATGGATCACTATCGAATTGACACAGACAGAGATGGACACATTTCAGTGTTTTGTTCACATGGTTCCTTCCTATTACAAATCTAAAATGTTTGAAAAAAAAAAAAAAAAAAAACTGCCTTTGCCAATAGTTAAACCCCGACACACAAACCCATACTAAAATTAAAGTCATATTAAAGGCTGTGCAGACACCCCACACAACCAACAGATATCGGAAACACTGATTCATTGGTGTTTTCTTAAAATGGTTGGTACTGGAAAGACGGCTTAATGTACAAACATGATTCTTTGCTCAGCCCATTCTAAAACCTAAAAAAATATTTACAACAAAGCCTATAGACATTTATGCATTAACATTTCCCTTGGGAGTTAAACACAAAAAACATCATGGTCTTTTACTATAGTCTTTGAAGTATTTGCATAATATTTGACTGTTGTAACATTCATCACAGCACATTTACTGTATTTTACTTGTATTTACTTGTGATAGGCCCAACAAACACCTAAAGGCAAGAGAAATGCATAAATAATAATTTCACCTTTAAAGAAATGTGTAAAGTGCGGAAAAGGAAAAGAAAAAAGATGAAAATCTATTCAATAAGGAGAATCTCAGACTGCCTACGGCCTTTGTTACTGCACTATAGCACTTCAAAAACAATCCAATGACCAAAGGTTTGAGAAGTGACAACATTGTTAGCTTTTATTGAGCGGTTTAGAAAATGGGACCTTTCACTTGGAAGGCTTTTCCAGGATAAACTTATTATTAGTAGCAGTTCTAAACCTTGGTGAGACCAGGGACTGTTATATTCTTTCAGAATATTCCAAGCTCCAAGAGCTAAGAAAAGAAAAAAAAAGTGGACATGGATTAAAAGGTTCTGAGCCCACTAACTTTATATGTTGTACACATATGCCACAGTCCTTGTACTTGACAAAATTTGCCTAAATTACTGTGCCACAAGTCACAGCTTCACAAGCACATCACGCTTAGGACGAAGGATCATTTTTAAAATTAAACTCTTATAGTACATATGCTTTTTTGCACTCAGAATGTATACAGAGTGCTAACACTTTTGCTTGATTCACACAAATGTGATGCTAGTTTGCCGTGACTTTCAGTGCGATTATGCAGTGTGACTTTGATGCGACATGATTGTGCTATTGCATATTCTATGGGGCCAAGTTTCACTGCAAGTTGCACCAAAGTAGCACAGGAACCTTTTTCAAAATCGCACCATGTTGAGTTGCATTAACGTGAATGGGCACCATTGATAATAATGTGATTTCCCTTTCATGCAAATCTGTGTGACTGAAGTCACATCAGAAGTCGAATTAGTGTGAACAGAGACTTTGTCTGATCCTACCTTAAAGAAGCTTCATGGTCACAGGATATCTGAATACTTATCCCCATTTACTCAAATCCAGGTCAACAACATGACTTCTGCAGGGGCCAATACACAGCATAAGTCTCTATCGAACCATGTTTGTCATATTAAAAGCATTATTTTATCGTTATGAAGTCCTTCCTTAAGAACTGCGCATACAACTGACTGTCCGATTTTTTTTTTGTACTCTCTGTAAGAGTTTATTGAACAATTTCAATACAAAACAATAAAAAAAGGCTTCATTAAAATAACTGAGGACTACATAGCAACCAGGACCTGTTGGGAAAACAAACACTGTATGTATGTAATGTACACTGTAGTGTACTGAGTGATGTGGCCAAAACTATGTAACAAGTGTCCATTACCTTCCTGGCAAGCAAGTGTCAATAGGAATAAAAATAATCACTGTTGGAGATTT